AATAATCAAGTCTAGTAAAAATAAAAGCAAACAGAATCTTGTGGGGATATGAGTCATCTAATTTTAGCAATATGATAAAAATAGACAGTCTGCTGTCTGTCTATGAACTATGTCTCAGTCCAACGCTCCTAAGAATGGTTATAAACAGTATTATGGAGGAGTATTGTGATGACGTGAAGAGTGGAGTGTCCATCCAAAAGAGCAGGAGTTTTTAAAGAGACAGTAGCCCAATTTCAAGGAGACTAATTGCAAAGTCAAATTTCTTTGAGTTATGTTTGATATGTACAGCATTTTCAGAACAACAGAAGGTAACATATTTACTTCACATATTTACTTGATTATGCTATAAAATTTAACTATGTGCCTAGAAAACACATAATAGTCCCTTTAACAAAACTTCATCTGTCCAGGGAGGCAGATAAAATTCTGTATTATAATATCACAAAGAACCCCATTAAAATACACTGAAATGTGCATCTGTAAAAGGTTTTATGGGGCGAATAAATAAATTATCTGGTGTCTTATATCACTTTAAGCACTGCAGTATCTGTAGAAGTAGTAACAGAGCTGAGTTCTGTCCTGCTCAGATTAACCTCAGTTAGTTTTCAAACTGGTTGCAGATGATATGAAACATACTACACAATGACATACTACACATTTAAATAAATACCCAAACTCATCTCCATCAGAATATTTCAACAATTCTGCTTCTAGAGGTTTTATATTACATCTGTGGTGAGGGGGGCGTTGTGCTCTGAGAACCTTGAAGTTGTGAGGGATTGTCTGTGTGTACAGTGTGTGTAATGAAGGTGATTTCCCCACATGTTTAGTCACAGATTTCCACTTTGTTTTGTTCAGGCCTGCAGCACCTTGGCCTGGGTGTGTTTCCAGGCAAAACCTGCTTTTATTTCACAAGAAACACACACTGCTGTGGAGCAGGAGGACATGCACAGCTCAATGTGTTGCTGCTGCTGATTGACTCTCAGGTGTGGATGGAGCGTCTCGTAAGAGAAGCTTTTGATAATAAGCAAACTGTACAAAATAATATTAGAAAAATGATCTTCTTAGCACAAGATCACACAAACTGGTTCCAGTGAATTCACTGCATCATTATACCTTTGTTACCTCATTGTACATACTTACTAATTGGGACACATCTTTAAACTTGGCCTTCAGGTTTTGCAATTCATCTTGAGTTATCACAATGCTGTTGTTGGAAACCTATGTTCTCATTCATTCAGGCAGATAAAAATACTCAAAAATGTTTTTTAATGGTTTTCTATGGATTCTATTTTGGACTTAGCCAAAATGTAATGATTGGCATCATCACATTGTCAAGCTCTAACATTAACTGCTAACTGTTAGCTGCTGCTACCATATTGTGGTTTTTAGTAGCCAGGGATTTTTGGTTCTTGATTTGGATGGTTGGATCCATCTTGTGGTTCTTGTCCAGCTGCAGGAGTCGTTGAATCTGAAAGGGAGAAAAGCAGCGAGCAGACGGCTGAAAGAAAGCAAGAAGAGGTGATGCTTAAAGGGGCAGAATTATGTATTTTCCAGGCACATAATTGATTTTATACAATCAAGTAACTATGTTATATTCAGTTGTTGTGAAAATGCTACATATATGAACTCCGGCTTAAAAGAATATTGACTTTGTAATTTAACAGCTTAAAATTGGGCCTCTGTCTCTTTAAAAACTCCTGAGTTTCTGAAACTTTTCTGAAAGTCACCACAACATGGATCCTCTATTAATCCTTTAACAATATTTATATCAGTGTTGCACTGAGAAGTAGCTCTTATTATGAGCCCACCAGGTGTTTGCTAATTGCAGCTGGCTAGTCTGAAGGAGCTGGGTAGGAGAGCTGACAGGGAGGGTTTCTCTGTGAGGTGGAAACGTAAACTGCAGCTCTGAGGAGCTGCGTCTTGAAGGCGGAGCTAGATCCACCCAGGCGTTTTGCACAGTTGAATTGAATTGTGGCCATGGAGATTAAGGGATTCTTCAAACATGCGTGAAAGAATCAAAGCAACACTCCAGGTATGTTCTTGATGAGGAAATAACATTATAACATGATGTAAAATTTTTTTTAAAAGTTTATTCTACATGATAGTGCCCCTTTAAAGTGAAGAAAGGAACAATATATTCTGTTTTAGTGTCAAGTGAAACTGAGCTTTTAATCTGCATGCAAAAAAAGAGCAGATGATAAAATGATTTAGAATAAAGCATATTGATGTTAGAGTGACCTAGTCAAAGTCTACATCTAAATCAAACTGACAATCTGTGGAAAGCCTAAAATTGATCTGCATTCATATAAAATAATATTTAATTTTGTCTGTTATCTATCTTCAAGTGGCAAAAACAAAGCTAAAAAATGTATCTGGGAGTTTCAGTGATGTTTTAAATAAAGTTTTTCCACAACAGAACCAAATCATTTCCAGAGAAAGAGAAGAAAAGTACATCTTATCTCCAGTGGGTTAATGAATAACTTAAACATATGTAATCTTATATGAGGAATCTAGATTAACTGAGGTGTGAGACAGTTTATCACTCAGAAACAGGAATGCTTTGTTTCCATTCCTACTTATAAAAATACAGCAGTAAGATGAAAGATGTCAGGACAAATCTTTACACATGAATGTGACTGAGGGTTTGTTCAGTCCTGAATATTCAGATTCTGATCCTGCTTGTTTTACATGTGTACAAGGAGGCTCAATCTCTGTGTGTGCGTGTGTGTGTGTATTTGGATCTTCGCAGAAGTTTCAGACATAAAAATAAACCGTGCAGACAGCCTGCAGGCTGCAGGCAGCCGGGGATGACTCTGGCAGTGGTTCCACCCGGGGGTGTAAAGCAGTGCAACCCTTTTTTTTCCACTCTGCTCGGTACCAGAACCTTTCGCTTTTCTAGGTTAACCCTCAGTGCAGCTTATTTTGGTTCTCCCCTGCAGATCTGTTTCCACTACTCCTCTCCGCCTACAGGACTGGATCTTATTTTGGGGAAACTGAAAACACTGTGTGGTGACTTCTGAGAAAGATGCAAACCAAACAGGAGAAGCAAGTTCAACTCTGGCAACTGGCAGATAAAAGAGGTAGTTTAAGGAGAAAGACCCAAATTCTGCTGGTTAAATTGTTTTCTTACAGCTTCTATGTTCAAGGATATGTGCGGGTTATGTGGAGTCTTCTACATTTTAGGATGCAAAGACAAAGATTTCATATAGTTGAAAGGATTTTATTAGTCAATCGTATTTATGTAAACAGTCAACATTTACAAAGTTAAAGACTTCAGCTGGATTCCAGTTGCTGGTTAAACCCTGACTGATGATGAAGAGCCATTCTTACCTTGATCAGTTTGTTGGCTTCTGTTTCTCCACCTGTTCAGGTTCTCAGTCTGTAGAGGTTCAGATCTGAGAGTAATCCTGCTTTCCAGTTTTCTTGGAACTGGGAAATTCTGACTTCCCAGCCAGAAAAATTAACTGGGACGCCGTCCAAAGTCCGATTTCCCACTTTGAAATGGGAAGCAACTCCGACTACCTTCAGTTAGGACTTGTAAGGCTGACTTTGCATTTCAATATGGCCGCTCCTCGCATCAGCAGCAGTAGTAAGATGTGGTGAAAAATGTTTATTTTACGAGACATGCATGTAAGAGTGTGTATAAAATCAGTGTTACAGCATCTGTTCAGTGATTGGATGGGTTCAGTCACCAGGTGACATCGTAATTTAGAGCTGTGCATCACCTGTGTAGTTATGGTAACTAATTTTATTTCCTGTTATAATCTGAGCCAGTGGAAGCCTGTAGATATTAATTAGGAGGAGCCCCAGGATTGAACCTTGGGGATCCCCACATGTGACCTCTGTCTACTACCTATTGACAGACAGTCATCCAGTTCTTTATAACAGATTATAACCAGCTGAGTATTGGACCAGAGAGTCTGACCAACTCTTCAGCGCAGCATTCAGTACTGTTGACATTTTACTGAAAGGACTAAAGTCCAACAGAACCAACACTGTGGTTCTTCCACAGCTTATGTGGATGTCACTGAACACTTTGACGAGGGCAGTCTCAGTACTGTGGTAACCATGGAACCCAGACTGAAACCGGACATAAAAGCAGTTGGACATCTTTAAGACGCTGAAGGTTGGCCTGGAACTCTGCAGCAGTGATTTATCCACATTGTTCTTTTATCAGTGGTAATAATAAAAGTTTGGAGGAAAACACCTGGTGAGAGCAACGAGTTCACCGAACAATATGGTGAATCACTGCTTAGTCATGATTTACTGTTTTCAACAATGGCCGGTTTGGTTTGAATAACTTTGTATCTTCAGTAAGTACATTTCTTTGTATTTTCCCAGACTAAAGTTAACCTTTGCTAGATAATCTGAAAGATTAAAGTGTGAAAGAGTTTTCACAGCACTACAATCAAAAAAGGGACACATTCAGCTTATTTACAATTGCACAACAAAATGCAAACAAATCAGTGGTTAATCACCTCAATCAATAGTTAGAAAGATTATGAACTAAAAAGGACAAGTGGTAAGTGTGCTGGTTAGAAAAATATTTTACTATCCTTGGCATCAAATTTAAAATGTAAATTTTCAGCTGAGTTCAGATTCATTTGCTAAAGTTCAATCTTTGTAACTGGAAGTTTATTAAACTTCCAGATAAAGAAGCACAGCTCTGAGACTCGGCGTGACCCTGCAGACAGAGGCATGAGCTCTGACATGTGGGTGGAGGGAGACACCAGTGGTTTCCCTCAGCAGCGTGGGGGCAGAGGGAACCCGCCCACCAACTTTCCATACAGACATTTCTAAAATGCACCACCCCCCCAGCAGTCAGCGGCAGGTGGGACCTTGTGCAGCTTTTGTTCTAAATGCGTCAGTCACCAGAGGAAGATGCAGAAGAAGTAAACACGGCGATGAGGAAGTCTGTCATGGTTACAAAATAACAAAAAAAAAAGTAGAACTGATAAGACAATATCCGCATCATAGTGAGTCTTTCAACGCACTTCTTTTGGTTTAGTTTGGTTTATTTATCTAGAAATTGTACAATTGATGTCATTTTCACTTTTAGTTGGGTGATTTTTAAACAAAGGTCAGAGTTAAAATAATACCAGCCAGTTCCCTCATCTGAACCTGCTCCTGTCTTTATCCTTGGACTTCCTGGGCGAGCGGCTGCGGCTGCGCTCTCTGTGACCTTTGTCCCGGCTCTCCTTCCCGTGTTTGAGACGGGACTTGCTGTGTTTGTGCTCTCTGTCTCTGGAACGCGAGCGTGAGCGAGAGCCCGAACGCTGGCGCCCAGACTTTCGGTCGCGTCTGCTCTCCTCGTTGTCCTGGAAACGAGAGCAGAGTGAAGACGGTGAGAACCGAAGTGGGAGAAGACAGACTGGGACTGACGTCCAAATGTCCAGTTAGAAGGAACGAGGAGGACATTTACTCCTTTGATCAAGTTTGAATTTATAGGAAAGACTTTTCTGCCCAGTTAGAAATGAACTGGTCCACTTTTTTCACTTCTGATACCGATACCGATATCTCAGGTTTAGTATCGGCCAATACTGATCCGATACAAAAAAAACAACAAAAAAAAAACAGCAGAAGTGTCTTAAAATGTTATTTTTTTTTTTAACAATAAATGTACTGAATTACTAATTCAGTACAGCACATTAACACCAACAGCTTCACCAGTTTGGTCAAACATGTAAAAACAAAACAACATGAATTTAGTCAGTCAGTGAGTAAATTCAGTCAATGAAAAATAAATAGTAAAGAAACAGAAACAGGTCGACTACCTCTGGTCAAACATGTAAAATAAACTGCAACAAACCATGTTTGAAATGGTTGAGAAAGTGGAATAAGAATTCTAAATAAAATATAAAACAATTAAAATATAGAATTAGACTGAACGGATTATAGATCTGGAACATTGTCACAGACACCAAAACTAGAGTTTTAGTTCAATTTAATACAGATATTAGTATTAGATTGGTGCATCTCTAGTTTTAAAGCCAGAAGATGAGCTGACAGGAGAGAGAGAGAAAGAAATAGAGAGAGCGCTCAGGCTTCTTGGAAGAGGAATTAAACAAAGTGAACAGTGATAAGAAAGTTATTAAAGGAACAAGGAAGTATTCACAGGAGAACTTTAGCATTATCTGCCTGCTGATATTTTTCCTGGCAAACGATAGGTGGTTTTCCTGACAGGTAATGAGCCTGAGGTCGGCTTCTTCGTCGGTCAGCCTTCATTCCAAAAACCCATCAGCGTTCCTGTCAGACATCTTCTGCATTCCTGCAGATCAAAGCGATATGACACAAACATTTCCTGCAACGCCACTTCCTACCAGACTGGACAACAGTCTGTGTGGCCATTCACCACAACATGGTGCTGACCAGGAAGTTCTCAGTGTCAAAGGTCAACAATAACTCCATAACTGCCTGTTCAGACTGGAGGAACAGTCAACACGCTGGTGATTCTCAGTCGCTCCACGTAAAACTATCTGGACTGCTGAAAAATAAAACTAACATGTGACATCTCATTCTGCTTACTGCACCGCTGGGTCCCTGGGAGCCCGAAAACAGCTAAAACAAACGATGCGGTCATTTATCTACATGATAATAAAATCAGTATAACAATAAAATCCTGGGATATTTAACATCATTATGTAACCCTGCTAAATAATAAAAAATACATCCTCCACCTCAAACTACACAAAACAGCTCATAATAAACAATATCTGCTTCTTATCAGGTCTTAAAATGATTCCAAAAATAAATAAAAACAACACACACACATACACACACACACACACAAGATGGAGAAATAAAGCAAACATAGCAGAAGCAGAGAGACAGACAGGAGAAAAACATGGGAGAATGAAGCATGGTAGTGGCAGACTGATGATGTGGGTCTGACTCCTAAAGAAAAACATTTAGAACAGGAAGGAGACTCAGAGTCCTACAGTAGAATCTTCACAAACGTCTTCCTCTCTGGGAAGGTAGCAGAGGAAGCTCCTCACACACACACTTCTCTTCTTCTCTTCTCTTATTTTAGATTCGCTTGTTTTCCTCACACCATGCTACATGCTCCCTTATGCTAAAGTGTCTTATGTTCTGTTATGAATACAAATGCAACAACCCTCTGTGACGGACTGACCACCAACATGAGGCTTTAGGGTTCTGAAGATAAACATTTTGATTCATTGTCTCAGTAAATTTCAACTAATGAGGTTGAATAAAAAACAAAACTCCATGTTATCAATAAATTTGAAAATATGATTAAAAGCAGTTACTGTGTGCAGCTTAGTGACATAAATCACACAGCTATAAGTCAGGTATCCTGAAGACGCCTGTTTCAGATGGGAATGTTTTCCAACAGTAGTATTTGTGTTTGGGGCGTTTTGAACACTGTGCAGTTACAGGGAAAAAAAGGAGTAGTTATCTTTTTTTTTTTTTAAACATTTTTATCCTTATCACAGTAGTACCACAAAACAATATTGAATTCTAAGTCCATATAGCTGTCATTCACCCTGCAGAAGGAAGGACAGCTGATCATTTGAACAGTGGTGGAAAGAACAGGTCTGATCTATCTGGGTGCTCCACTAGAGCGGGCGCCAAACAAAGCTAGAGGAAAAGTTATTTCCAGTCAGCATTTTCTGTATTTCACAACTGTTTGTGAAAATAACATGATCAGTATCAGAAGCACTGACTAGGGTCACCCACACTAAAGGCTGAAGGAAAACAGAAGAGAGAATGATGAAGATGTTGTAGGGATGGAGTAAAAAAGCTACAATGAGACCTCACCGCTGTATCGGAGTAAACTACCTCAAGTCCAGTGAGGTGGAGACTGATTGGGTCATTACGAAGTTGAAATTGATTATTTAGTCTAACTGCTGATGTCTGGATGTTCAGGAATAAACAGAAACACCACCAATCTGGGCACCTGCCTGGCAGCAACACGTCCAGACTCACAGGATACAATACGACCTGTGAGCTCACAGCTTTCTGGTTAAAGAACTGACCTTGTGCTTTTTGGATTTCCTGCTGTCCTCATCGTCTGAATGATGATGGTGTTTCTTGTGTTTCTTCTCAGGGTGCCGGTGGCTCATCGCCGCCTCCTCATCCTCGATTAGCAGGTCATACTTGGAGCTGTTTGGAAGGTTACGGAAATCTCAGAAAAAGAAAGGCAGTGGATGGAGACGGGCATGAATCAGAAGAATATCAACAGGAAAATAAAACATTCCCAGGCATGTGAACACAGAAGGATACTCTTGTTTGGGCTTCACTTGATCCTTCAGAGCCAGCTTAGAACGGCTCTCCAAGTCCTTCTCGTAGGCCTTGAAGTCATCTTTAGTGTATTTCCCACCTAGGACACACACACAGCTGTTCACTTAAAGGAGCAGTGCAGACTTTTATACGTGAAGTTCTGTTAAAGGTTTAGAAACAGCTAAAATCTTATCTGAGTTTATCTTTATGTTAGCATAAATCCAGACTAGTAACGGCTAGTCTGACCTAGAGGAGACTTCTACTAAAATAAAAAGTCTCCAAGGTGCCACACAGCTTATGGAAACACTATTTATGAATACAGAAGTTATCCTTATTGTATATTGGCTGTTTATCAACGGGGAAGCCTGTGATTACATCTCTAGGACACAGACATAGGAATGTCCTGTGCACCACTAATAAACACTCTGTGTGAAACACTGACAACAGAGTGTCCAAAGTCGGTCCTCGAGGGTCGGCATTCGATTGGATATTCTTTAAATAGCATTCACACAATTTATAGTCATGTTCCTTAAAGGGTAAGTAGGGTTCCATCTTTATGTTTCTGCACAAATTTCATGTGTGTGTGTGTGTGTGTGTGTGTGTACGCATAGACTGTAAATTTGTGTTGTTTTAGGTCAGCAGAGGTTTGCTTTGATACTGGCTTCTTTCTGGCTAGCTGTTAGCTTTAGCCTCTGGGACCAGCTAGTCTAGATTTATGAGAAATGCAGAGCAATCTACTGCAGATGCGATACCAACTGCTTGTAAACTTCAAAGAAATTCATTTCAAAAACACTGAGCTGTCCCTTTAAAGTAAAAGAAACAAAACAAAAACAGAGAAACACTGCTGTCACTCCCACAAACTGAGTGGAAAATATTATCTAACCTTTTAGTACGTTTTTCTATTATGTTACATTGTTTGATTTTGTATTGTGAGGCGTCTTTGAGTACTTTTGAGTACTTAAAAAAAGCGCTATGTGGAAAAATGTGTTATTATTACTATTGTTATTAAAAGTCCAGCCTCAGGACCAGCATGAGTACCTTTCCCTTTCCATTTGATCTTTGCAACCGACTGGCTGAAGTCCACATGGATCCGTCGGTCATCAATCAGCACGTTGTCCATTTTGAAGTAAGCCTTTTCACAGTCTTCTTGCTGTCAAGAAAACAGGTTTAAATATTGTAAAGTTCAATGTAAAAAAAAAAAAAAGAACAATGTGACAAAAAACTCAGCTCTAATTTGACCAATAACAGCAGACCTCACATAAACTACCCGCCTTATGCACCTGCTGAATGTACACCGACTATGTTCCAGATATTAAATGACATGACATGCAAGCTCTTAAATATCTTCACACAAGAGGTAAAGGAAAGCCAAAAGCTGCTTTAACTGGCTGCCCATATTGGGAGGAATATGATACCAGCTGCCAAGTTCAGGAACCCGGAATAAAAACATGGATTTCATGTAGAAGCAGGAACATTTTGCTCCGTTTTAATGTGCTGTGGAAAACCCCTGGCTCCTCTCTTATCTTTCATTTTCAAGGAGTCAGCTTTTTCTGGCTTCTTTACAAGAACCGTTTGGTGTGACGCACCACTGGCCAAGCGTGAAAGTCAACATCTACCTAAAAGTATAGCATCCTCTACTGGTTGCACAACGCATTGCAATAAGCTCCTTCAGAGCCTTGATTCCGTTTGTCGTTTGCAGTGAAATTCCTGCAGCTCCGTTATTCCCCAGATAAAAAGTTCACAGGGTTCACCACTGAAAAACAAATTGTGCAAATATGATCTTCCCTATTATCTTACCTATCTGACCTAATCAATGTTGTAGGACAGGTTTCACGTTTCCAACTTATCAGCTCTTATTTTCACACTGCAGCAGTTCTGAAGCACACCAGCGACAGGCAGGATGCGAGACCTCTTTTATTTGCTTCACTTTCCCTCCTCTGTCATAATGACTCCAACAATCTGATGGGATCATAATCAACATGTCATAAACAGAGCAAACTGAGTTTATGACTGATTTCCAGACTTCACATCCTGCAGGGTTTTTCCACCTGTTATTATTTCCCTTATAAAAACCGGAGGGCATATATATGGAAAAACAAGATGTTATCAGCTTATGTTTCCCAGTGAACCAGAACATGCAAAAAGCACATGAACAAAAACTAATTAAAAGGAAAGTCGAGTGATTCGAACATCATAACAGAGTTTGTTACAACAGTGCATCTAAACATGTCTGACTTTATAAAGCAGAGCTGAGCTTTGGATGCACCTTCACCATCCATATTCTTACCATAAATCACATCACAATCCACCGCTAACCTACTGCACACCTCACTACTGTCTTTCTGTAATCTTGACAAGTTTAGGCCAGTGGTGATTACTTATTATAAATTGTCCCAGAAATTATTGTGATAAACAATAACTTTGTCTTTTTGAGGCCATTTTAAACAAATATAATGATAAAGGGTTTATATTGCAAGCCCTGTCGCACAAAGATCAATAAACTTTCATTTCCAAAAGAAGATTTAACACTGTGGCATTTTTAAATGTCCGAAAAAAATGACTAAAACAGTAAATTAAAAAACATTATGAAGTCTCAACAAAACAAAAATGTGCCTCAAATAACAGCCATCACTGTCTATGATAACTCTGAAGAACCTGAATTGATAAGAGTTACAACATTTAATTTCTCTTTGGGATCAATAAAGTATTTTTTTATTTAATCATCAGGCTCAGATTGGAAAAACAAACAGCCAGTTAGGACCTTAGTGAAAACATTTATTCCTTTTTTGCAAAATTATGCATTTGTAAAGTAGTATTTTGTTTTTGTTTTCTTTTTGTAATGTTAATTTACCAAAATAATGTGAATCTGAAATGTTCAAACTGACCACTTTGTATTATGTGTCAAATGTTTGCAGTATTTTCTAAATGCAGGTCTTTCAATAATATTAAAGGGCAGCATCGCTCTAAAGATGAAGCAAACTACAAAAACAAGCATGCGAATGAAAATTATCGCACTCATTTTCATTTATCATGTGATTATGTCATTTATTGCTAATTTAGGACTGAAAAAACTACAAATATAGTGGATGACTGGAAGATCCTGCTGGCTTTGACAGTTTGGCAACAGAAGTGAGCCGGTGGCAAAACAGACATCCTGCAACTGGATGGAATTTGCATTTATGCAAAGAAAAAAAATCGTCAACTATCAAGGGGATGTTAGCAGTGAGTTAGAGGGCCAGTATTAATAAGGCCTTATTGGTGCATAGAGATGATGCTGCTCACCTTCTCAAACTCAATGAAAGCGTAGCAGAGGGAATCTCCAGTTTTAAAGTCTCTGATGATCTCACAACTACATAGAAAAAGACAAAAACAAGTGTTCTGGTAACGTCAAAAGAAAACAGATGGTGACTACAAAATGTTCAGGCAAAAATCTTTAAAAAAATAAACAAAGACGTATCTGACAAAAATAAGAATCCTGACCTTTTTATGGAGCCAAAGCGTGAAAAGATGATCTCCAGGTCCTCGTCTGTGGTGACTGGGTTGAGTTTGCACACAAACAAAACGTTCTCAGGAGGCTTCACATCTGCGTCCGGGAGGTCCCCAACCTGCAGGGACACTCAGTGTGTCTTCAGTGTATCCCCCAGCTCAGCCAGAGGACTGAGAGCAGACGTGTGTCTCACCATCTCCAGCAGGATGGCCTGAGTCTTGGCTTCCTTCTCCTTCAGCCTCTCCTCCAGCTCCTCGGCTCCTTTCCCGTCCGTGTCGTCGATCACTTCGTCCGCTCCGATACGGCCGCTCTGCAAATACAAACACTGATTCACACAAACTACTGAAAGCATCTACGTCTGCCTGAGCGTCCCTGAGCCGCCCCATCACTCTGGTGAGAAAGACTGCGGCTGCTCTCACATCCAGCTGCTCCTTGGTGGGCTCAGGCGATCGATCAGGAATCGGCAGATCGGCAGGATCGTCGAACGGATCGTCCAGCACCACAGTGTGGTTTATCCTGCCGCAATACAACAGCAACGTCTCATGATCAAACCATAAAAATAAAACAAATCAGGATAATAAAGTAAGAAAAACATTTTACCAGGTTATAAGGGTTAGAATCAGCTGATGGAACTAATAAATTAAGGAATTATTGATTAAAATAAGTTCCTATCTAAGATATTTGTACTAGGAACTGGACAAAAGATAGTTGGTAGGTGGAACATAAGTCAAATTCACAGCAAATGTAATCTTAATCCACCTTTCAAAAACAAAACATTTAAATTCATTTATACAATCCAACTGATCAAATCAATTAATCAAATTTTATTTGTATAGCACATTTCAGCAGCAAGGCTGAAATGTGTGCTTTACATAATTAAAAAACAAAATAAAAACAGCATGTGACATTGAATAAACAGTAAGAAAGAGAGAGATTTTGGAAAAAGAGAAAATAAAAAAAAAGAAAAAGATTTAAAAAAAAGATAAAAACATACTTTTGTTATGGAATTTAAGCGCCTGTTGTCGCCAGACTCCACCGTCCGTTTAACACGGGTATTATCCAGGCCCCGTCGCCTGACAGGACAAGGTCTCCAACCTTGCAGTACCAGGCTCCGTCCACCTGACACGCGAATTTTTGCGCTAGGACTTCGCCGTCCTACACGGATTTTTGTGCACTATTTTTACCTGTTAGAGTCTAGAATTTACAGGGTTTTTCTGTGCGCGCAATGACCCTCAATCACTCACCACTTTTACATAAATAGATAAAAAGTAAAGATAAAAACATCGAAGACATCAAAAGCCCACACTCTAACCCTAATTTAGCCATAAGCAACTCTAAACAGGTCCCTCAGTGTTTCAGCTGTTTTACAGTTTTCTGGAAGTTTGTTCCAAATTTGTGGTGCATAGAAACTGAATGCTGCTTCTCCTCGTTTGGTTCTGGTTCTGGGGAAACGGAGCAGAACCAGAACCAGAAGATCTGAGGGGTCTAGACGGTTGGTACAGCAATAACAGATCTTTAATATGTTGTGGTGCTAAACCGTTCAGTGATTTATAAACTAACAGTATTTTTTAAAGTCTATTCTTTGAGCTACAGGGAGCCAGTGTAGGGACTTTAAAACTGGTGTTATGTGCTCTATCTTCCTGGTTTTAGTGAGAACACGAGCAGCAGCGTTCTGGATCAGCTGCAGCTGTTTGATTGATTTATTAGTCAGACCTGTGAAGACGCTGTTGCAGTAATCAATGCGGCTAAAGATAAATGCATGGATGAGTTTCTCTAGATCGTGCTGAGACATTAGTCCTCTAATCCTGGAGATGTTCCAGGTGATAGAAGGCCGACTTTGTGACTGTCTTAATGTGGCTCTGAAGGTTCAGGTCAGAGTCCATCACTACTCCCAGGTTTTGGGAGTTTCGGGATCTCAGTTATCAAACAGTACAGTAAGCTAAATGAATTTTTAAAAGTCATTTAAAAAGCTCTTATCTAAGGAAGCCCAGTAGATGTAAGTGTGACGTGGCCTCTTGGTTCCAGCTCACCTGATGTCCTGAAACGGGACAAAATCCTTGTCAACAAAAGCCTCATTGATCTTGGTCAGGACGTCCAGCCCTTCTGTGACTTCTCCGAACACGGTGTGGACTCCATCCAGGTAGTCCAGGTTCTCCCCGGTCGTGATGAGGAACTAAGAAGAAACTAATTGTTCCAGTTGCACATCTGATGTTTTTTTATATTCCTGCCCTAAAAAAAGAAGGATATGGCAGGTTTCTAAAAGCTCTCTTCTCATTCACCTGAGAGCCGTGCTGGTCATTTCCGTTGTTCACCATGGAAACCGTCCCCGTCTTCCTGTGCTTGATGCGCGGCACTTTCTCCGCGTCAAAGAAGCGCGCCTGGTCTCCATAGAGCTTGCTGCAGATCCGGAACACAGACAGGTTTTCAGTGTGCGCCGCCTGATTCCCAAACATCTGAAACCGTTTTACTGACTGACCAGAACACAGATTCTCCTCCACGGCCAGTTCCAGTAGGATCTCCAGTCTGCACAATGAAGTCCCTCTGAGAAAGACACCAACATATCACACAGTTTACCAGCAAATCTGAATGTAGAGTCACACTTCAAATATTTCAGATTTTTATGGGATTTGTTTTTAGTACAAGCTCCAAATGTTACGCAAAGCTATAGTACTAATGTAGTAATCTCAGTCCAGTAGATAGAATTTAGACAGACTAAGGAATTTGGAAACTACGCAAGAGGATTAGGGCCACTGGAATTTTTTTTTTAAATTCTGATTTTAATCTCAGAATTCTACAATTAAAGTCAGAATTCTGACTTTTTTTCTCAGAATTCTAAGATTAAAGTCATTTTTTTTTCTTTTTTCCAGTGGCCCTAATCCTCTTCTGTAGGAAACAGAGAAGTGTATGACTTTGACACGAAAAAGTGTAATTACCATGTAAGATTTGGAGTAGCCAGAATGTTCAGCTTTTAGATGAAATTGGGATGAAAAATGTATGTGATGTCTGTTTTACTTGGGTTAATCTGATATATTACATTTGATAAAATAATTAAACATTAACATCCTTCCACAGCTGTGTGAACGTCAATGGTAGCTCTGACTGTAAGCTTGGCCTTTGGCGCCCTCCTGTGGAGGCTCGCTGAAACAGCATAGAGTTAGCAAAAAAAGAACAGATTGACAGCGGAGACAGTTTGAAATAAGACAGCTTAGCATTACCTGCACATTGTGGATGAGGCAGTAGTTGTAGTATTTTATTTTGCATAATTTCAGGAAATTTAGGGAGGCTGAAAGAGAGCACAAATGTTTAGATGCACCTCTGGCAACATTAGAAATAATGTGTTTGGAAGTAAGATATGACGTAACTTATTACAACTGCACAGCAGTTGTAACACTCTACTCCAATTAGAGTAATTCTGGAACAAGATAAAACAGAAACTGAATGAAACATACAACAGACTAGCTAACCACCGAAGCTAACACCGCCATATTCTGTTCATAAGCGCTCTTGTGTCTCGTTCAGTTATGAACGAGCTAATATGCTTACAAACAGTTGTGGGTTATTGTAATATATAGCCTTACTTTTAGGTCTTTCCTCGGTGAACAAATCAATTACAATATCCCCCAGCGTTGTTTCAAGGAGCACCGCCATACTGACGTTTTCACTTCTCGCGAGAAAAACAGCAGAACATTCCGTACGCCTGCGCAGTTCGTAGGTGTGCGCAACGGTTTTTCCCGATTCTTGTTTTTGATGGAAGAGAACTAAAAGCGGATATGGCGAGTCCCACAGTTTGTTTTATTGTTCTTCTGTTTGTCGCCGAGTCGACGACAAAGCAGCTAAACACGGTAAGAAAAAAAGAGGTGTTTTGTGCGGTGTTAGCTTCGTTGTTAGCCTTTCCACTATAATGTAGCAGTGAGGCGTTCGGGTGTTTTTTGTTTTTATTTCTCACCGAGTTGTTTTTATCGCAGGAAAATATCCTGATTAACGTGACAGCAGGGACACTGACAGACACCGAGCTGCAGCAGTCCAACAGCTTACAGGTAAATTTATGGCCACGCGGGAATAATTCCTAAGATTCCTCTGTTTCTGGGAAATCAGGAAGGGGGCTCATGAGTCACTTCTCTGTATTTTTTGTTTTGTTTTGTTTTTTTTCCAGATAAATTTAAACATATCAGTGGGTGAAGAGCAGGTGCTGGTCAATGAGATCCCGGTGGAGCTTTCAGGTGTCACTAGGTTCAACTGCCAGGCTCTTCTCTGTGAGTTTCCTTCACTTCTCCTTTGAGCTTACAGAGCTAAAGCTAAATGATCCGCCTGTTAGTTTTTCCTTCCTGTAATCTTTAGAACTGGTTCTCCAGGCTTTCTAATGGGCCATGTTTATTTTATTTTTTTTTCCAGCTAATATCTCTTTGGAAATCGTATTTTTTTTCAGATGTTGCTACTCCTCTATGAACTTTAGCATCTCCTCTACCATCATATAAACAGAAACAGTTCAGGTATTCATCCCTGTTGGATGATTTATTGCTTCCACAAATCAAACATGACCAACAAAATTTGACTTGTTTGACCACAAAAAGTAAAAAAAAAAAAAAAAAAGTTTTAATGTCAAAGGAATGAACCAGTGAAGGCCCTTCCACACGCTGCTGTCTTCACTGTAGTTGTTTTTGGTGATTGCTGGTTTGTATCTGAAACTCTGACATGCTGGTGCAGATTTCAAACAAATCGACTTTCTATTCGTGAGCTGTTAATAACAAGATACCTATTCCTGCTTTCCGCATGTGTTGAATATTCATCTTGCTAAAATATT